TCCTTTTCTGGCACGAGTAACACCGTGGTGATGCGGACTTCCCTAAATGGGAAAGAACAGAAAATAAAATGGAAATGAACTTTTTTTTTCATGATTCCAGGACTCGAGCTGCACTTTTCTGCAGCCCAAAAAACATTGCAACTTCAGTTTCGACCTCACTTTTTCTGAAACAAGCGGTCTCTCTCTCTCTCTCTCTCTCTCTCTCTCTCTCTCTCTCTCTCTCTCTCTCTCTCTCTCTCTCTCTCTCTCTCTCTCTCNCTCTCTCTCTCTCTCTCTCTCTCTCTCTCTCTCTCTCACACACACACACACACACACACACACACACACACACACACACACACACACACATGCGCATATCATTTATACATGATTCTCCAATCATTTGCGTACTTGAACGCAAACTAATACTACGGCACAACTTGCCCAGCCAGCCACCACTGTGAGGCAACCCCTAATGAACAATAATGCACTTGAGAATATTTCCCGATTTAGATGACCTACCAGGTACCCAATAGTGAAGTTGCATGTGAAAGAGATGATTGACTGCCTCTATAGTGAATGGCCTGAATACTGGTGAATAAGGCGTTACCACTCTTTGAAGACCTGAAATAGAAAGTTGCCTGATGTGGAAGAGAAAGACCTCATTGATGGAACAAAAAACTGATAATAATATCCGCGGTCCAACAATAACAACAACCTTACTACATAAAGGACAGCAGTGGAGGAGGATAGTGGGGTGCGAAGGTGGTTGCTGTTTGCAGGGTCATGTCCTACACACTGTGCACACCTGTTCTTGACCTGCTGGGCACCGGACTGTTCAACCTATATACATGTGAGCGGGATGAAATCATATGTAGGCACGTATGCTGGTTCCCACCAACCGGACGGAATCTGACGGATTCTCCCAGAGGCACTACACGGAGAAATATCTAGAAAATTAACTTCCCTGCCTGCCTCCCAGACATCTTTGATCAGAAATTCTTTGTCCAGTTAAGACAAATGCAGGTGACTTGCATGATGGACTCCCAACGATATTCGGATTGCTTCTTCTTGGGCAACCGCTCAACTACTCGCAATTCTCAAAGGATGAGAGAGAGAGAGAGACTGTTGAAATACCAGATATTGTGATGATGCCGACCTGTCTCTCAACCTTTGCCAAAGGAATGCAGGCACTCTGTTCTTGGGAACAGTGCAGGTTTTTCTGTTTTTGTTTTTCGTTGAGAAACGCAGAATTATGCCTGAGGCTCATTTCCAGTTCAGGGCCAAGGCCCACTTACATGAATTCTCAATTTCTGACTATATGCTAAGAAGATCAATGGCCAGAAATGAAGAATTAGTGTAAGTGGGACTTTGACCCCTGCAGAGCAGCAGCCCGGTTTCTTTTCCATCGGCAGGACGTCGATGATCGATACAGGATCTATCTGTCTGGCAGCATCTATTGCTTCTCCCCCAGGCAAAGGATTTACTGCCAGGCACTGGCAAACACAGTCTCCCACATCTTACCTCTTTGCTAGTACTTGCTCAAAGATCTTGAAATCCGTAGCCCTACCACTCCGAGTCTTCCTCCTTTCTGCACTTCACCGGAAGAGAACTCCGTTTCTACATCAGCAGCTTTTCCAGAATCTTCCGCAAATACTCTCCATCCTTGTGTTCCATCCCTCCCATTTCCTCGCCCTGCCGTCCCCAACCCTTTCCACATCTCCCTTAGAACCGCCAGTACATCGCCCAGGCAAACTTGAGAGCCGAAATCGAGTCAATTCAGAAATTTCAGGGGTTCAGGACTACCTGAACACAATGGATGGCGGCACCAGCCAAAAGAGAAAAAAAAGTGTGCCGCTGGCAGTTCAGCAACGCTTGTTGCGCAGTGTTCATGTACTGGTCCTTTAAGAATTGTTAGCGGTACCTAGCCCATCCAGCTGAATGGTACACACATGTCGCCAGTAGTGAACAAATCATGAATTTGAAAACTTTGAAATTTGACTCAGAATGGAGAATATCAGGGCTCACCCCTTTTTCCTTCAAAAACAAGACAAGGACTGTCATTGACATGATAAGGGTACTTTTGTGACACCCGCCCCCAAAAAATTGCCGCCCAAATCGCTGTCATGATCAGAGGTGCCCAGTCATTCTAGAGAGAGGTAGGCTCTGCACGGGACCCCTCTGCCATGCCGATTCTGTTGTAAAATATACAGGCAAGCATTGATTTCCAGTTCAATTTGAATGTTATGGATTTCCAGTTCAATTTGAATGTTATGAAATTCACCATGTGCGATCACTGTGACGTGTCTACCACATGCCACACATATTCGTATTACGATGGTATTATCAGACTGGAACATTTACTATGAGCTTCTAAAACTTCCATGTTCATCTGGGACTTGAACTGCAAACCCTCGACTTGTCACGGTGCAAGTTTGACGGACTAAATACCGCGCACTGTGCACATAGACGATATACCTTGTGAAACCACAGTAGAAGATTTATTTCTGAATTCCACCGCTCTCATGTTCATCTGTACCTTGATGTTACCTGTATGGTAAACAGCTGGACTTGTCAACCAGTATGATAAGGGCTGACAAACTTTTTACATTAAAAAAAAAAAACATCAAAATTCGTCAGCACTTCCTACTGTCAGAGTACCCTTCTTCTTCTTCTTCTTCTTCGTCGTCGTCGTCGTCGTCGTCGTCGTCTCTGGTTGGGAAAGTTGGCGGTGCTCCAAGGCTGATCTTGGGAGAAGCTCCCTGAGGAGTACAAGGAGCGCAGCCTGGCCGAAACCTGTCGGGGAATATGCGCGTTTCTGCTAAGAACTGTACATGCAGAAGTGAAATGTCTGTCTATGGTTGCATGTACAAGAAGCACTCTTCCCCTTCGCCTCCATCTCCCTCCTACTTTGCCTGTGGATGGTCTGGGGACAGCGCCCCTTCTGTGTATGATGCGCTGCCCCCCCATCTCACTGCGTGGTAAATGAATGAGTGAGCATTGTCCATTCCAATCTTGCCGCATCAGAGTGTATGTTCCAGTCTTCCGCTGCATTTTATTGTCTATTGCTGGGGTCGGTTCCTTGGATCTGCACTACACTTTGCTA